AATATTTCATAATTTGTCATTAAATGTATCATATATCAATATGATAATAACTACAATTCATTCCGTGAATGTAAAATTTGGACCTGGACATGGTGTTTACAATAATCTTTATAAAACATAATCCCATTAAAATATTTTTCTGTATTTAAACTGAACTCTGTATTGCAAAAATAATATGTATACAGGTACAGTATAATAATGAAAATAGCTTTAGAATTATATGTTTATGATCGATTCAAATGTTTGAAATAGATATTGATTATTGATTTTTATCAACAATTAAGTGCACATAAACTTATTTCATTTATAAAATAACTTTACCATTTATTTATTAATTGATTTTTTATGCACCCGCGCCTACGTGTCTGTACCCGGGTCGGTTATATTTCATTCAAATGTTGCGAAATTTTAAAGTTTTAAAAGTTATAACAAAACAATTTTAAACAATAAAAACATTTTTGTAATTTTTTAAAAACTTATGTTAAGGGCGCCTGTATTCGGATGACTACCGGTGCCAATGTAGTCATAAATGGACAACAAATAACATTCAAATGCAGACTCAGGAGGAATGCCCTAAATGTCATCGCATGGATGTCTGGCCAACTAAAGTGGTAATTATTTCGTACAAAATTAGATAATAATTTGATAACTAATTGAAACTTATATTTTCATAGCATTTGTTGAGCCCTGTGGACACCAATAACAGTTAGTGGACAGTAACCTTGCTTATAATTTAGTAAATACAGTATAATCAGTAGTATCGAGGATAGTATATGCCTTTCTCTAATACAGTAGACTATAATAGCAAAAGTTGTGTTTAATTTGATGGTAAATCTAAGGATAATTATGTGACAAAAAACTTGTTTATTATGAATAGACTTCAAGGCAGTGATGGACGAGAAGTATTTCGGACAATACCAGTGCTTCAAGTGCTTGAGGACCTGGTTCTCAGCCCATTCGTGGCTGGGTTTTGGCCAAAAGTGTCGCAAATGTCATATATCTACCGACGCCCACAAACTCGTATGTTATTTACGAAAACTTTTATCAAATTTATAATATACGGTATATATTAAGCATAATATCAATTAACACTTGATTTGTTGAGAAATGTGTGTTTTTGTAGTGAATGTGTAGTCATTTCGTGTGATTTTTTCAGTTTTAGATAGTTTTTGTTTAATTTGTGTTTTGTTTTTCATTGTTTGTTAGAGACTTCTGGAGAGACCTCAAGGGATGGATAAGAAGAATGACAAACGCAAGGGTCACGAGTCATCCCTGTGCTCCCGGTGCCGGAAACTGGGCTATAATTGTAGCAAAACGCGTTGGGGCTAGTATTGGAGTCCATAAAACAACATTAGTTTTGACAAACATTTTTGTTTAGACATTAATTGATGTTTTGATAACTAAATACACTACTAATCAATACATACTTATCTAGAAATTAATATTAAAATTTATTGTATGTTTATAATCATTGAATTCATTGTAATTGACATTTGAAATGAGCAATTAAAATTTGTTTGAAATTTATTTTTATTGTAAAGAAAATTATTGATTAATAACAATACATTGATAAAAGGGATTACAAATTAAACATGTTTAAAAAAGTATACTAGTATACGATAGTAATTTATTTTAGGCATTAATTTTATACAGTATAAATTATACTAGTACTTTTACTGTACACTAGACACTAGTTTTAATGATAAGTAAAGTGTTAAAGATTTTCATTATTTATAATTATGCAAGAATTTATGTTTATAATAATAAATCTAAACAAACTATAGTTATCAATGATAACTTATCTAACTTATTATGCATTTATTTATAAAATCGTTTGATATTACAATCAATGTTTAGACAACTAAGTTAAAACATATTATTATCTAAACTAATAAAATCATAATTTTATTTTTAAGTTTTTAATGAGTCATTCAAAATGCATATCTGTTTTATAAGTTATAAATTAACATATTAAATGACTAAATAAATTTATTTTTATAACTGCTATGCAAGTGAAAGTAAAATGAAATATAGTTTATTAGTATTTGTGTTAATTATCTCTCTAATTACTCTATGTGGAGATGTTCAAGGTAGTATAATAAATGTGTTTTATTATTCAATAAATAAATAAACTATTTTAATTATCAGGGGATAGCTGTGGCGGTAATTTCAATGTGCTTAATGGTCAAATAAATTATCAGGGTCGTGTAACCAATAGTGATTATGTAAGACGGTATAAACACGCTCCTCAATACGAGTCATGCGAATGGCATATAAACCTGGTGGGACGGTATATTATCGAGATCAATTTGAAAAATTATCAACTTACTGGTGGACAGTTACAACTATATGATGGGTCAAAGCAATTGACCATGATCACCAAAGATACGTCAAAACATGATGAATATGTTGTATCAAGCAGCAATCATGTCACAATTAAAAGCAACTTAGATGGACATATTAATTTAGTGTATAAGGCTATTAAATATGGTACATGGCATATTATGTTTATAAATTTATGATTATTTTATCAACATTTATATTAGCAGACTCATCAAATTATTGCATCAATTGTTTATAATTGTTAATTAATTTGTTTAATTTAGTTAAAATTATATAGATGATAATTTTATATTACCAGTAATACTGTATATAGTTTATCACATTTTATCACTTATTTTTGTCACAATATTAGGTAACAGTTGTGGTGGCTATTACAATGCGAGTGAGGGTGATATTGAATACGTGACCCACCAGAATTTCACACAAAATAGTTGCCAGTGGCAAATACACGTTGATCCTGGACATAGCATTTGACTCACGTTTAAATACTTTGAACCACAAATAGGATCCCTGTTTATAATTGATGCAAATAGTGGCGAGATTATTAAAAATATGGAAACTAAATTGAAACCAGATGAATTGCATATAATTTCAGCCACAAATCGCATAACTATGAAAAGTAATCTACATGGTGTATTTCGATTAAGCTACCAAACACTCAAATACGGTACTATAATATTGGAAAACATTTTAAAACCCTTAATACTATTTGAACATGATTAGGTTGTGGGGGTACTCACAATGAATTATATGGTATAATCTATAGCCCGGGTTATCCCAACCACTACTACGAGAATATACAATGCGTTTGGACTATAAGTGTCGCCCGGAATCGGAATATATTCTTGAGTTTCGATGACTTCGAGACCGAAATAAACAGCGATTTCCTCGAAGTGTTTGACTGTCCGACTGATGGCTCATGCGATCAATTAAATGCTAATTTCACGGGAAATACGATTCCGGCAAATGTCTCATCAGTTAATAGCAGACTGTCCCTCAAGTTTACATCGGATCACAACGGCATTAGAAAGGGCTTTAAAATCTCGTATAAAACTAAACAATTGGGTAAATGTTTTATTGTTTTAAAAATTGTTTGTTAAAATTATAAAATTATATTCTATAGGTATTGAATACCCTGTTGTAGTAACTGGTCCTAAAGTCTTAATAGACATGGATACTAATAAGATAATAAACTTGTTATGGGCATACAATGACATCATTGATTTTGATGTCAATAACAAATTAGTAGTTGTTTTTCAATATGAAACTCAAGTTTTGAAATTCATTGAATTGAATACAACGAGAGAATTGCATTCCTATGCCTTGACTGGTATTGTAAGGCCTAATGATATAGCGATTGATTGGATCCACGGATTAATATATTGGATAGACAGCCACACAAAGTCTATAAATGTGCGCAAAATAATAGATAATAATCAAGTAATTAGACATATCTATACAATTATAAAACTTAATACTGAAATACCTATTAATTTGAGGATAAATGCAATGAATGAGGTTCTCATTTGGAGTAATACTGGATTTGAGGCAAATTTAATGCAAACCAATTTAGACGGAAGTAATCAATCGATTCTTTACGACAATAATAGACAAGCATTTCATCTGACAGTCGACTATCAGACACAACGATATTATTTCATTGATATCACAGACTATTCACTCTATTCTGTGGACTTTTACGGCAATAATGAGTTATTTATTATGAAATCTGAGGACTTCTTTGAGTCCATGGACTCAATTAATGTCTTGAATAATGACTTATTTCTATCCAATAATCACATGATTTATAAAATACCGGAATTGGAGTCCAGAATAAGAAAAGCGGAGATTCTGTTCACTACTGACGAGAACCACAACATTGACAGCAAATCCTACTATGAATACAACAAAACTGTTATCAAAAGTACAGAAATCTATAGCTTTATAATAATGAGTGCATTATTACAGCCAAACGTCACAAATAGATGTGAATCGATTGACTGCCACACATTATGCCTACCGAGTGGTCAGTCATATCGATGTATAGCCGATGAAACTGCACCACAAATACAAGATAATAAAAACCTATTAATTAGTGAATACAACCATAACTTACAATTAATTACTAAAGAATTGACACAAAAGCTGAATAACATGTATAATAAATCAGAAATTAGTATTCAACACCTGGATCATCTCATTAAATACCAGGCTAACACTAGTAATGCAATTGCTAACAAAATACAAAATAATGGACATAAGGAGCAATTAATTGATAATAAAATGAATAATAATGATAATAATGGATACAAATCGCTAGCGATTTTTAATTCAGTACTAATCGCCGTATTATTTCTCATAATTATTGTATTCATTATAAGGTAGTCATTAATAGTTAATTATTTATTTATTGTTCAAAATGTTTTCTATTATAGTCTTAAAATTACACTGGATCGTTTTACTGGTAGCACTGGTAGGTATTTACCAAGATCACTGATATATAGCTATTCTGTGGACACAAATTCTATACAATCTGTTAATGAAAATAATAAAATATAATCTTTCCATATAATACATAATATTTTTACAATCCATACAATACCATAAATCACACTAATAATGGGTTTACTTTATTAGAAATATTCAATATTATATTAATCGGTGTATTCATTATTATAACAATGGCTATAATGTATGTATTAAAAACCTAATTTAAATTAGACAATTATTTTATTAAATTTTTGTAAATCACTATTTACTAATCTATTATATTGATCAAGGTACCTGCTAAGCTTGATTAAGGGCAGGAATGTATCACCCACTTCTATACCGTTAATGCAACAAAACCTTGTTGACAAAAATGATTTGACAACTAATTTATAAGTTATATTAATATAATACAAATTGTAATACATTTAATATAATTTATAATACACTAATCAAATATTTTTAAGTTCCTTGAACTTAATTGATATAGAATACCACATAAATATTGCATGTTTATACATATCAAACGATTCTGAGTATATCTAGAGTTTCAATTAATTAAATGTTACTTTATATTTATGTCTCAATTTATGTTTACATTTTTATATCATTCACGTCGTAATCCTTTTGTCTCACTTATCGCATAGACTTTGATTTCCTAACATTTTCTATGAAATTATCGATAAGAATGTGAAACTCTTTTCCTGTTATTATTAAAATGTTTATGTTTTACTGGTTTCCACATTATATAACATAATTGAGTAAATGAGTGTCTGGTAAATTGAATCAAAAATTTAAAATGTTATAAAAAACTATATATTAATAAATCATTGTATAAAAATTATTTGTTTATAAGCATTTTAATATTTAACAATAAAAATGCTGTCTATATTAATATCTACTAAATTATGTGCGATAATAATAATTATCATTTTCAATTCAATTAATGTTATATCAGGTAAGATTTATTAAGCATAAATGCCCGACAATTTAAAAATGTTACTTTTCCATTAAAACGTATGCTTATTATAATAAACTTTGATTACAATAAAATGTATTAATACTAAAAATACTGTATATTAAAAACTGTATTATAATGAACAGGCGATTGCGGCGGAAACCACACGAAACCAAACGGCGAGATAACTGTGAAAACAATGAATAGTGAATGCGTTTGGAGTATAACTGTGGCTAACAATCGGAGTATTGTGTTCACTGTAAAGGAGTTGTATTTAAGTCGAGGTTTTCTCACTGTTTATGACGGAAACAGCGATAAAAGCACTTCAATCGCACAATTAAGAGGCAATTTGTCCAATAAACCGGGACATATAGTCTCATCGGGCAATCAGGTGCTATTGAAACTGGATCAAACAGCGGTTGGCAGCTTTTTGTTAAGTTACGAGACTGTGCAACATGGTAAATAAAATTTACTTGACTTGCTAATTAATAAAAATAGACAAGATATTTAACGACAAACACTATTGTTTATGATTTATACTAGTGTTATACCAAATTTATTTATTATCAAATTGAAAATTAAAAACATTTATTTATTTTCATTGTTAGTTAAAAATAATATTTTAATGTTTATTTAATAATTGTTGTTATATTTTAAAGTTTTAAAAAATAGTTTTTTGCTTAACCATAGGTTGCGGTGGTATCTTAAATGACAATATAATTCCAAGTTACATATACAGTCCAGGTTACCCTGATCACTATTACGAGGGCATGAACTGTGTGTGGAATATACAGACATCTTATGTCAAGAATATATTCCTAATGTTCAATGATTTACAACTGGAGGATAACCACGACTTTTTACTCGTATATGAGGGAAATGTTAAACAATGTGAACAACTGCCCAGTAACTTTAATCCTTGTAAATTGGTTGCCAATTATACCGGTGATACCATTCCCGCTAATATGCTAATCACCGATAAAGAGGTGTCCATAAGACTCATTACGGACCACAATAACGTTAAGCGAGGTTTTAATATCACGTTTGAGACCGAGGACATGGGTGAGTAACTAGACTTGTTTCATAATGATCTCGATTTTGTATGTATAATAATCTTAATTTAAATAATTACTAAATAAAACAAATAAATTATATGTTGTAAGGTGATTTCTTTGATAGACTGTAAATGATAAGTCTAGGAGTTTTGTTTAAAATATAATTAGAAATGTGAGTTTATATTTGGTGGTAACAATGAGTTTTTAATAATTATACTTTAACAACAAATATTTTTGTAAAATTTTAATTAATTTTTAAGTTAATGGTTAATACAAATTACAATTTTCAAGTACAGTACAAATACTTTAAATAATAAATAACTTAATATAATCGATTAAATAAATAAACTATAAGGTGTGTTTATAACAAATAACTATCTACTAATTGCAATATAAGTATATACAAGTAGATTATTTTGCAACAGTAGTCGTAAAACTCGTAACTATTCATCGGAAACAAGTCATAGCAATAGAAACCAATGTCCGCACCGGACAACAGCTCATTGAATGCATGTATTTTCAGTCTATACCTCAACTGGAGGTCAGGCTTTTGTAGACATGTATGCAAAAGTGGGCGACAATTATGTGCTGTTTTTGCTATGGAGGCACACATTAGTGTTAATGAAAAGTACAATCGGTACAAATTCATATGCAATCAGTTTAAAGTATAATAGAAATAGTTAAACAAATGTTTATTACAAGCAAGTGAATTATAAATCATTTATAAATTTAACAATTAAAATATAGGATATACAGAATTTGGCACAATAATCATAAAACTCATAGAAATTAATGGGAAACCATTCCCAACACGTGAAACCAATATGATCCTTGGTTAACCTCTCAATTATCTTAATTAATAGTAATTTTTGTCTTAAGGAAAGTTGTGTTTTAATGAGAAATGAGTGTAAATGTGGCCAAAACTGATGAGACCTCTTATTAATGGATGACAACAAATAGTTGACAATAATCAGCATTATGGCGCTATTGATTATTATAAACATGTGAAAAATCCTTAAGTATAATGTTAATTGTACACTATAGTGCATTATATAAATAGATATATTGCCAATAAATGTAAGCAAAATATATACACCGAGAAAAATATACTTATACATTGAATTTAATTGTGTAATGCATTTGCACACAGAATTGTGTTCACCAATAGTTTTCATTAACATATTTATACTTTTCTTATTTACACTGATAATAATTTTATCATTAATTTCTTGTAATTGATAATTAATATACAATAATGCGGTATAAGCCCAAATGAACATGATAACACTTAAGTCTGCAGCATCTCGAATTGTTATGTAAGATAAATATGCCCAGAATATTATATAACCTGGTGAATAGTTTGTGTTATCATCAACATATGCCACAAATGTTGCGCCAATAAATGTGATGGCTAACAAAATGACCAGAATATTCCCAAACTTGCTCAGCATATATTTTGCAATTAAATTGATTTTAAACGCATATTTACCAGCATTTGTTTCACTTAAACGAGTTGTGTTTGTTTTGTGCTTGATGCTATTGATAAGGTCAATGGTAAAGAATGCACATTTAGTTTCAAAATAATGATTTACACAAAAAGTAACAAATGTTGCAATCACGCCTATAGCTAATCCCAATGTAATTATTTGTGAATTTCCAAACAAATAGTTTGGGTTTGACATCATGTTTGTGATATTTTTATTGTCGGGATATATGACTGAAACGATACCCCGGATGGCCATTAAAATGAGAACCAATCGGAAAAATACTATTTTCTTCACTCTTTCCGGTGATCTCTTCTCATGATTACAATAGTCGTCGAAATTGTTTGCAATTATTAAGTAATAATTTGCACAGAATTTGTCGATTCTGTTGATGGCATTCAATTCATTAGTGTTTTCAATTGTAAAGTTTGCAATTTTTTGTTGAGCTTTTAATTTGGACTGTTTAATATAATTCATGTTTAATTAACGTATACTACTTATTAAGTCAAATAATACAGTATAATAAAAATAATTAAATGAAAATTAGGTTCATTATAGTGATTATGATAATTACTGTCGTATTGTATATGAAAATATTTTCAAAATCAAATAATAGTAAGTTATTGATATTGGAATACTGTATAATGATTCATTAATAATGAATACTGTATGAGTTAT